CCAGGTCTAGCGTGGGCCGGAGGCTGGGTCCAGTATGGACTTGGCACTAGCACGGGCCTGACACTGGGCGTCGGGGGCCTTCCCGAAGTGACTGATCCTCAGTCAGGGCCCAGGGCACGAATAAGGGGCAGCACCGTTTTGGGGAGCAGTGTGAGGTTTGAGCTGGGGATGGAGTGCGGTGTGATCCTCCCGAGATCGCCCCCACGCCACGGAGTGCGTGCCACAGGGAAAGGGGAGCGCGTTCTTGCAGGGATCCGAGTACCCAGACGGGACAGAAACGCTCCTGGGCTGTTGCAAGGTTGCTGTCACTGCTGTGAATGTTTCTCAAGGAGCAGGACTGTGTTCTGAGGAAGCCTCCTTTTGCAGGACGTGTTTAACTCAGTTTTCCTCTCCCCCAACCACTAGGTTTCCGTACTTGGGAAATCTGAAGCAGTTCTCCTCAAACCAAACAGGTAAAACTTCTTGTATTGTAGGAATATTGCTAACGGCTTCAGTTGCAAGCAAGCGTGCAAATTTTGGCAAATTATAATGCCGAAAAAGGTTTTTTTAGGTACAGGCCAGCCATTTTTTTCTCAGGAAGTTTAATGGTTCAAAGCGGGGGTGTTTGAGGAAAAGGTTGTATTACCAGAAAGGTATTGAGTTTGCTTTAGAGTATACAGATATGTGTGGGCCTGTATTTAATTTTAAGTATATAATGAAGTATTCAAAGTTTCTTCAACATGATGTTAACTACTAAAAACAAGCATCTTGAAACAGACTTAAGTTTGACCATTTATTTGTGACTGTATAGTTTTCCCTCAGCTAAAGATTAGTTTCTTCCAAAGTGGAGAATGTATTATTTTTATACTTATTTTTAAACTGAAATTCCTCCTCTTCTCACCCTTCCCTCTCGAATAGTTCTCAAAAAAAAATCCTGCTGACTGGATATTATATGCTCTATACTTAGTTTCCACATTTGAACTCTCAGGATCCCTTGGGATTTAGCTAAAGTAAACACACCCATTTTAGTTTGACTGTGAGTTGGTAGTGCATAATAACCCCCAATGACTAATGATTCAAAGATAATCCTGAGGTTGTACAGACTAGTCTCTTAGTGAAAGTTTACTTTTCATAGGAAAAAGAAACCACCCCAGAAATACAAGTGCAAATTCTTTGAGTATGTAACTGACTTTGGCTCAATATTGTCTTGTATGCTTCAAATGTGTTATGCTGCAGATACGTTAAGTGTCTTTGTTTTTTTGGTTTTTTTTTTGTTTGTTTTTTTCATAAGTACAGAACTCATAGGTTGCCATGTTCATGTTGCTTGCGTTTGGATTGCTACTGCAAGAAATTCTGGCTAATTCCCAAGCTGAAAACCTTACTGAATTCAAAAACATTCAAGAAGAGCCATTATATAACTACAAAGCTATCAACTTGCCAGATGAGCATATACCATACTTTCTGCACAATAATCAGCATATTGCTGGCATCTGTAAGCAGGACTCTCATTGCCCGTATAAAGTAGGTTTGCTTTTTTTGTTTGTTCAAATATAATGTTGGGGTGGTTTGTTCTTGAAGTCGTAGCTGTTAAAGATGGTGACGAATTGGCCTCCTTGCCAGTTAGTCCGTTCCACTGGGAATTGGAATTGTTGCTTTTGAAATAGTTGTGCAGGGCTCTTCCTGAATCTGATGCTGTCACAAGACTGGATTTTTAATGTACTGTTTTGCAAGATTTTTATCCCCCCTGTTTTAATTGTTACAGAGCTGAAATGATGATCTTAATCTGAATGACTCTTGCGCATGTGAAAGGTGTTTGAACTATGTACATTTATTAATTTCTAGGCCTGTGATTTTTAGCATGTTGTAGTACTTTTGCCGAAGTGCCAAGAGTATAGGCAAATAAATGAAACGTTGATTTAATCTTATCCTGTGGTTGCACATAATTCATTCCCCTGAAGCAGGGACTGTGAACTCGAGGATTCTGGCTGTGTGTGGCTTCAGGAGCAACTCTAGTGTCTCTCAGGCTGGAGCTGCTTTATGGAGCTGGGAGTGGGAGCTGTGCTCCCCTTTCTCTGGCTTTCTATAACACTGCAGAAGCCGACGTTTCTCGATTTGCCTGGGGAGCAGTGGTACACTCAGCCCGGAGCTTGGAGCGCTGTGCTCTGTGTGAGCTTAGACTTGTTATCTATATCAGTGATGTGAAAATTTTGGAATCCTTCTTATTGGGTCAGGAAAAGTGATTGTCCTGGAGCAGACATATTAAAGACAAGTATAATGCTGCTGTGCATGTGTGTCCTCCTTGGAGCCTCTGTTGTGTGTACAGAATGTGGGTGTTCTTTCTGAAACTCCATTTGAAAATGGACCAAACTCAAAGCCTTTTATGCAAGATTTATTAGCAAGAGGTAGTTTATAAGCTAGCAACTAACTTAAGTCATTTCCCATTTTGCTGTCACGTACCCTGATTCAGTTATTCTGTGTTACAGAAATACTTGAAGAAACTAAAATCCTGCTGGGGTTATGAGAAATCTTGCAAATCAGATTACAGGTTCAGTTACCCAGTGTGTGATTATGTTGAAACTGGATGGTAAGTTTCATTTAAAAAGTATAAAGTACAGTATGTTTAAAAAAGACTATAGTGCTCACTTTCATATTAGCTGTGAAATTAACATTATTGTGATATTTAGAGTTTAAATGATGATTCTTTGTGATATGTGTGTATATATAAGGGTGTATTTATACATAACGTATGTCTTTCAACATGATTTTAAAAATTTAACTTTTTAAGGAAGAAAATACTGTTTGAAATGCTTCCTGCCACAATGTTTTCATTATTCTGATTTAGCCTTGAATTTAGATTCCTAAAATAACTCTGGATTTCCTTTCTTAGCTTTAAAAACAGAGGAAAAAAATGTTAAAAAAAATTTATACCCCTTTATGGGAGAATAGCTTTAAATTGTCATTGATGTTTTCACTTACACACGGCTGATAAATTGCTTCCTGTTTTGCATCTTTGTATGTCAATAAAGTAACTGGCTGGCACTTCATTTCCACTTTCAGTGGAAAAAATGTTATCTGGTAAAGTTGTTAACTAGAATTGAGCAATGGACCTTGATATATTTTTTTTTTTTTTTTTTTTATATTCCCCCCCCTTCATACATCAGGGCAAATGACATTGAGACAGCCCAGCAGATATTCTGGAAACAAGCTGACTTTGGTTACATTCGTGAGAGGCTCAGTGAAATGAAAACCCATTGTAAGCCTGCAGCCACAGTAGGTATTTCAGATAGATATGATACTTCTCACTTGTTTTTAAATATAATTTTTGTAATTGACGAAATCCTACTTGTTCTTTCCTTAACAGGGAGATTCATCTCTGACCTGTTCTAAGTACCTTCAGCATTGCAGAGCAACAAACTTGTACATTGATTTACGAACTGTGAAGAGAAACCACGACAGGTCTCCAATTTGCTTGTGTTATAGTAAGACTGGGATGGCGGGGAAAAGGACTTCAGAATTTAACAAAGCTGGTGTGCTTGTTGCCATGGGCTTTACTGCTGATCAGAGACTTGTTGCTGAAGTCCTGCTGAGATCTACACCTCTTGATTGCTGCCTGCTGCTGCTGTCAGCAGTGCAGGTTATTTAAAAACCTAAACTCTCAGTTTTATGGAATGGTGATGGGTGGTTGAAATCCTCCCTTCTGATGGAAGAGAGGAAGACTTTTCTGTGCTCTTCAGTCACATCCTTTCTTGATCAGGTGATGTGCAAAGTAGAGTTGTTTTCGTATGAGGTACTTAGAAGACCTTTCCTATGCTAGGTGCCTTTCTACCAGAGTCAGGAATTGCATTTTTAGATATGGTGAGACTCCCGAGAGATCTGAACCTGGATCTCCCACATCTCAAATTAAAATGCTACATATTGGAAAACTGTTTAGAAAAATCATGCCACTGGTGCTGGCATCACCCATTTTTCCTTCTACCTTGTCTTTGAAGTCAGTGTCTTGGGCACATGACTTGAAAAAAGCTGGTTCATGACTGTGATGCTGATACCCTTCAGAGAAGGTTTTGTCATCTTTTCGGCCTATCCTAAAAACTAATTTAGACAGAGCTTTTAGTTGGCAATTTGTCTTTATGAAACCTATTCTTGCACCTCACTCTTCATATGTTGAATAAAATTCTTGGGTTACTAACTGGGTTGTGAAATCTGAGGTGAATTTCAGTGAGAAATTGTTACTAAAAACAGTCAAACAAAAAACCCAACTAATGATGCTCCTGTAAGTAGTCATGTAGCAAAATCTAATTAAATTACTCATTTGTGTGTGTGAAAATGATTCCTAATAACATTCTGGGAGGTTTAGTGCTGTTTTCTAAATTGATGTGTAGAACTCCAAGGACACCACTATCTTTTTGGGAACTGTGGCAAACGCTTGATTTATGCTGAAGAAGACACTCAGGTTTTAAATATTTATGAATTTTGTTACTGAATTGAGACTAACTAACACTGGCTTCAGTATGTAATCGAGATTGCAGAGCACTTGTAGCACTGTTGCACAAAAGCTGATAGACTTTTACTAATTTGCATTAGATTCAAAGAAGACTTTTTCCAGAAGGGAGAAATTGGAGGTCATTGCACCCTCGACGTTCAAGCATTTTTGGCTGAAGGTCAACGCAAGAGCCCTCTCCAATCTTGGTAAGAATCACTTGTCAAGGCTGCTTCTAAGTTTGCTTACAAATTCTTTTTTGTTTTTTTCCTTGGCATTAGCAGCTGTGTGTAGGGGATTTCATACTGAGGAAATAGTTGCTCCTTCCCAAGTTCAATTTGGGAGTTCATATTAGATATCTCTGGTAATTACATCTATGCAGAATATTCTAAACTATACGATGTGTAATTGTGTCCTGCCTAATTTGCAGCAGCAAAAGATCTGGAAATGTCTTGTAATTTGAAGTTCGAACCTTCAGATGTTTTCTGGACAAGATGCTATTTCCATGCCTAATTTGCCTATAGGAGACAATTGTTTTGTTGTGAAATGCCTTGAAGTTTGCACTTGTGTCTTAGTTCACATAGTCCTTGGTGATGTTGAGGCCAGTGCAATGCCTGATCTGGATGTATATTCATACGGTGTTCCCAGGGAGCCTGTGTTTGGCAGGCTGAGTAGGAAGTGCAGAGGGTGCTTTGTGGTAGCTGATTAAGTATCGTGGGTTGCGTGTTAGCACTTCAAAGCTGCATTGCCAGTCAATTGATGAAACATGAAGGAATTGGAACCATCAAGGTCCAGTAAGAATTCACTTTTATGCTTTTCTCATATTTTCTTTTTTTTTTTTTTTCCCCCCTCATTTTTCATTATGGTCAGTTTCAATTAAGAGGAGGAAAAGACTTTTCTTCTCTACCTGCTGTTGTCATCTCAACTGCTCATCCTTGTTTAGATCCAGGAATAATAAATACTGCATCTACATTCTTTATTCTGACCAAAGCATGAGATCTTGCTGAAGTGTCTTCGACAATGCAGATCAAGTTGGACAGACCCACAGATCTGGGCTCTAAGGCTCTTTGTTACATCTCTGCTGCCTTGATTTGTAGATCAAAGATGCTGTTCACTCCTGAGATCAAAGGCGGTGTTTAACCTCTTGAAGCTCATAACCTGAAGAACCTTCCATTACAATTTCAAATCATTTTAATTGTCAGAGTCTATCAGTTTTCAGCAGTCCTGTTAAATCAAATGGACAGAATGAACAGTTACTAAATCTTAGATGTATGAAGTACATTTGTTTAAGCGTGTTAATGACAAAGCATGTTCTGTATGATTGAATCTTTGTAGGTTTGCAGAACTCCAAACATTTACTGCATTGAACTTCAGGCCCCTAGAAGATGAGAAGTGTGACATTGTTATTGAAAAGCCAACATACTTCATGAAATTAGATGCAGGTAATCGGTATCTTTAATTTAGTTTTTTTATCCTGCAATACTGCAGTTAAAAAAGCTCGTATCCAACTTACCCATCTACATTATGCCTTTGTGATTGTCAAGTTCACTTGTAATATATTTTTATTTTTGAAAAATGATGTGACTTTTTAATTCCTTTTTTTCTGTAGTTCCATTGATGAACTCAGAAACTTAAATTTAAAAATCTTACAAATCTTAGTTTTCTCACACATGATTAAAAACCAGAAAAATATCCTGCCACTTGTCTTGCACAGTCATTCTCTTGACTGTGTTTTGACAGTCTTTGACTTTATGCCAAAGACTCTTCCGTACAGAGAGATTTTGATTTTGTTTGTTTCTGGATGACAAGTTTCATGCCATGAAATGCAAGGTATGAGTGTATATGTCTTGTAGTATGTGTTCAGTAACTGAGGATTCTATGTATGTTGAATGATATGGAAGAGGAAGTGGTATTCAAAGAGAGGCAGCACTCAAGCATATTTAGGAATCAGCCAGTGGTATCTGACACTTTTGAAGTTCACCAAGCTATTTGTGCATGCAGCATCTTTTACAGACATGTTAATGAAAGAGGGTGTTCAGGATGTAGACATTCAAACAAGCTACTGTGGGGTAAGCTGTGGTTTCAACTGGATAGTCGTCTGCTGTGTTCTGACCCTGTGACACACTGCAACTGTAAACTGAATTACCCCTCTTCCCTTGCAGACCAGTATCATGTATTTTAAGCAAAGTTGTTGCAGGCCCCTGAACAGTTACCATGGAAGAGTTGCTTTGCTGTCAGTTCGTACCTTTGAGAGGGTGGTCTAGCTGTGGCTCAGGAGGTGATTTTGTCTAGCTCCTTTGTTTTAGGGGAGGTGGAGGAAAATTGCGATTTGAGCATTATATGAAGCCCGGCAGCTAGTTCCTATCATGGCAGCTCTTTTTGGTCGGAAGCTTAGAAGCAAGGGCTGTGTGCACATAGTTCCAAAACTGGGATCTGGTCTTCACTAGCAAGGAAGCTGGACTATGTTACCTCCTTTGTTTCATGGTAGTTTTTTATGCGCCATGGTCTTACAGTATTAGCTTAAACCAAGATTGAACAAGAATGCTCTGAGAAAAAACCTGAGGAATTACTTGGGCTTTGGCTCGTGTGCAAGTACGAGTTCTGTCTTGTAGTCCTGCAGACAGAGCTTCCCTTAATCCTAATAAAGCAGAACTAAGATCAGCGCCGAAGGCCTGTTTTTAACGTTTCCTGTATGTCTAACTGGCTATTGTTAAAGCAGTACTTGCTTTCATATACTTCAGGAAGCAGCTGCAGACTGTAATGAGAAATAACACTTGAAACTTATCTTTTTCTTATACTGTCTTTTGGCTGCTTCTCTGATTTCTCTGAACTTTTTAAAAACACATTGTACTTCAGATTTCTTACCTGGATTCCTTCCCTTTAAAAGTTTGCTTTTTAGCGTGCATAAGAAGCATTCAGTCAGAAGCAGGGGAAAGCTAATATAAACCGCAGGATACTACTAAGGAAAAAATGCATGAACCAATAAAAAGTGGAGTGAGTAATGTTGCTAACAATTCTTTCTTTCTCAGGTGTTAATATGTACCATCACTTCTGTGATTTCGTCAATCTTTATATTACACAGCATATCAATAATTCCTTCAGTACTGATGTCAACATAGTCATGTGGGACACTGTAAGTCTGCTGTGCTTTTAATGTATTTGTAATGGGTGGTATTTCTGCTTTATAGAGACTCTGAAGCTTTTAGTAGCCAATCCTTGGCTTTCTTGTGGGCTTAATCATGTGGAACTGATAAGCTTTTGGATCCTGTTAATACAGGTGCATGAACAATATTTAGGGAACAGATTTTCTGAAATAAACCCTGTGCTGTTTGAACACTACTCTGTAGCTCATCTTTTGCTAGTATATAATTATGCCTTTTTTTGGTGTGACCTCAAAAATAACACTATCTATATTTCTAATATGTAGCATTTGCACGTTTCATGCTGTTTTCTGTAGACTTTTTTCTTTGAGAACATTGAAATAGATTGATTCAAAACTCTTTCTTCTATATTTAAAATGAAATACAACCTTGCATCTTTCTAAATCAGTAATGTACACCCTGTAATAAAGAAAGCAACTGAATGAAAACCTTATATATATATATATATATCTCAAAACAGAGTCTAATACTTAATTCCTTTAAATAGCTTTTTTGCAGTTCCTTCTCTCAGTTGCCTCTTAGAATGCCGTGATGACATATAAAACAAGTTTTTAAATGGGGCTGTTTCTGCAGTACTGCTGAGTTGAAACCATAACTGTATTTAAGAGTAATATTAGTTTTACTGGCCGGTACTTAAGTTGTGTAGGAGAGTGTTAAACTAAATAATGAAAAACTAGGCAATTTGTAATATGCTAGATAACATATATAATCCGGTCCAGAAATAACACAGTTCTTGACTAGGGTATTGTCCCATGCCTGTCTTGTTCTCATAAAATACTGGGGTTTCTTTCTGAGTATTTTTATTTCTGAGTTTAGTTTATTTGAGTATTTCTGAGTATCTTTACTGCTAGGACAATTAATATTCAATAGAGAACTGCAAATATCCCCTGCTTCTATCTAATGAGAAACCGCTTTGGCTAGAAGAGACCCTTTTTTTTCTAGTTCTCTTACATTTTGAAAGCTAAAATACCTGCCAGATTAGCAAGCTCTCTAGATGTTATACAGGGACCTGTTAGTCCAGGTCTGATGGCTTTCTGCAAAGATCAGATGTCAGACAGCATTGGAAATTACTTTGAAAAGCAACTCTTTGTCTTCTATCGCATTGTTGAATGAAGTCAGTCTTTCAAATGTACCATTCAAAGCAAGTACTGTCATAGTAGTATCATTTTAAATGAGTCTTAACTGCTCAGCCTGCTGGAGCTCATTACCATGTACAACCAGGTGATGGCACCAACTAACTGCTGATGGACTGTCTATGCTGATCGCAAGATGGACTTGAGCTTATTATTCATTCTCTTTTTTTTTTTTTATCTTGATGTAATTAGATTTGGCCATACTTTCTAGCTACTGTAGAATCAGTGCACTGTTCTTATTAAGCTGTAATGCCCTTAGATGTAGGTTAAACAAAGCAGAAAATGAGTAGGAAATCCACTGGGTGTTGATTTGCAGACTGTCTCTGCAAATGCAGGAAAGCAGTGTTTACAAAGCAGTTCTAAGGCGAGCAGATAGGGTTAGAAAGTAGTACTTTCAGCTTTGAAGATCAGTTCTCTACTTCTAATCTGGAAGAGCAGTTCTTGTAATACAGATGGCCAGAAAGTAGTAGGGATTTTTAAAATTCATTGAAACTTAATGGCAGAAGGGGAAGGAAGCATCTCTTCAGCTGAAGAAAATTTGGTGCCTGTTAGATTCTTTTACATTTCACTAGGTATCTGCTCTCTTCTGTGGTCATTTGTACTCTTATTTTCAAATTTCTTGTTGAGAATGTTTCCACATAACTTTCCAAGCAGCCTGAACCAGCTCCAGAGTTGAAAGGAAGCTTTAAGTGAGAATCTGCACCAGGGCTACTGAGGTCATATTTAATTGTGTTCAAAGAGCAAGAGATGATGACTCTTAGCCTTCAGATGTTACAAATTTGTAGGCAAGAGCCCCTGCTGGTAGGCCGATGTTGTAGGGAGTAGATGGCTCTTAAAAGATTCCACAGAGCATTGCTGCAAAGGGGGAAGTTTTATACTGCCCTGTAGAGAGACTTCTCGGTAGCTTGTCAAAGTAATGCAAAACATAGTTTCCTGGCTGTTTCTTCCATCAAATCAGATCATTACCTTCAGTTTGTGATACGTGTGCAATATGCAAGTGACGATCCCAAAACAGAGGCAAATGTGAAACAGGCTTTTTGTGACTTTTTACTTCAAACATTACTGCTGTGCTTGAATTCCCAGGTGGTTTTCTAGTCTGAGGAGTTGAGGTTTGTGCCTTCTACCATCCCCGTGTTTCTGTTACTTTCAATTTAACTTGTGTTCTGTTGTCTTTGGGGCAAGTACTAGGTAGACCTTGCTCCTAACTCAGAAATGCTAATCTACTGCTGAAGAACTTGTCTAGCTTGCTAATTTGTAGAACTGTTTTATTAAAAATTAACTACCTGACAGGTAATTGGAGTTAACTGCCATTGTAATTGCAGGGTTCGGTGTTCTGTAATGTCTGTGTTCTGTGCTAGGCTGTCTTAGGTCTCGTGGTGTTGATGTGCATGTTAACTGCCTAATAAAACTCATATACAAAACTTGTAAATCATGAAGAGAGTTTTTATATGCATTTATGTGATCATTATGCCCTTGTGTTTTTTTCCTTTCCTCCTAGAGCTCGTATGGCTATGGTGACCTGTTCAGTGAGACATGGAAGGCATTTACTAACTATGAAGTAATACACTTGAAAACCTTTGACTCTAAAAGGGTATGGAATTTTTTATTTTGTTTTAATTCATAGTCACTACGTAGCAAATATGACAGCTTCTCAAGCTGCTTGTGGATATGGGTATTTCAGAGGAAAGCATTAATACTTTCCATGCATGTTTAATTTGCATAATACGAGTATTCTACCTTACAAACAAGAGACAGAGCTATAACCTAATTCTGTGGCATGTCTATGCTTCATATAGATGGATGTAACTTTTGTGTCTGCTGAGAAGTGATACTTATGTATTGGTGTCAGTTCTGCAGGCTCCACTACTGAAGTTAAGGGTTTTCAAATGATACTGTCTTTCTAAGTCTTCTGATTCCTACTGAGGTGTTTATCTTCCCCTGCAACTGTTAGTATACCTGCTGCTTATCATTAAAAAAATTTTTACTCCCACCAAAAAATGTGACCATTCATTTCAGAGATCATTTTAGTCTCTTAAATCCCTTAAAGCCTGTCTTAAATTCTCTGACTGGTTTCCTTCTGTTTAGTTCACGTTTGTTCTGTTTTAGGGATGATTTTTTTTAACCTCTTACCACACTTGTATCTGTAGCATCCTAAGTGAGAGTTCTTTTGGGATCAGGATTGTCTTTGTTCTATTCATTTGCACAGTCAAGGAAGTGTGGATGTTCTTGACAGGAGCATGTAATTGCTAGCTCATTATAAGCAGTGATCCCACTGAATGAGCATGGGATGTGCCAGCGGAAGGTAGCAGTCCAGTGTAACTTCTTGTGATCTTCCTTTGCAGGTATGCTTTAAAGAAGCAGTCTTCTCATTACTGCCTCGAATGCGATATGGCTTGTTTTATAACACACCGTTGGTGAGTCCTTTTTTTATCCATCCACTCTGTTAAATAGATGTGCGTGTGACAGTATTAAATATGAGCTAATGAATCTCTCAAATATCTAGCTGAGCTATCATGCAATGTACTGCATCGAAGGTCTATGCAACTCCAAATGAGATGATCTTCCCTGAAGATTAGGATTTTTTAAGTTACTTTAGCTGGTTGATAGTAACTGGTTGTGTGCAATCTCCTATGTCACAGCTCATGAGATACATATTATTCCTCTTTAATGGGTGGGCACTGTGAATTTACTGATATTTTTGCAGAGCACAAGATCTTGTACGCTGACAGACTCTCCTGAGGGTATTAGCTCATGCATTCAGACTGTAACACTGTAGAGAGAGTTATATTTCTTTTGAAATGAAAGTGCCACTTGTGTTGCAGTGAATAGTGACATGTTTAGCTCAGTGCATGATAGTAGGCTTTTGTTCCACAAGAATGGCAAAAGACTGATCGCAAAGGGAGGTTTTCCAAGCAGAATAACTTTTTGTATTAACAATTGCTTTTTTAATTTCAGATCTCTGGCTGTCACGGTACAGGGCTATTTAGAGCATTTTCTCAGCATGTGTTACACAGATTAAATATCACACAAGAAGGACCCAAGGTATGATAACTGAACAATAAAGTTGTAATATGGAGCTGGTGGCTCTTACCAGAGAAACAGCATTAGCAAGCTGGACCCAGTGGGGAATAAGGGCGTATCGTGCACTTTTTGGCTTTTCCTGTGATGCTTGGGATTTTATTTTTTTTTCCGAATAAGTCAGCCTGTTCTGTAGAGGCCTTCAGCAAATGTTTGTGTATATTTGTGAAAGTTGCCCTGATGCCTTATTTCCATAGGACAGACTTTAGAACATCTTCCTTCCAACCCTAGGATCTCTTTATTGTCTCTGTTCTCTGTGCTCATGGCCTCTGTGTCCTTCCTAGTTAAGCAAGATACATGGTACATGGTCTCTTCTGGAGCACGCTGACAAGGTGCTGTCCTTGGGTCCAGCAGAGGGGATCCCACAGAGCAATGCAGGGAGCTTGCTCTTTATCGATCCTCATAGGTACAGCTGAGCTCAGATCAGAGGAGGACATGATTGAATCTGGTCCTTCCAATCCTTGTCTGATACCATCTGCCTGGCCCTGGGCTTCTCTGTTGTACTCACTGGTAGTTTTTGCAAATCGTTGCAATGGCTGCATTGATGGATACGGCGGTTCTGGGCTTCTTGGAAGTATTTGCTAGAGAGTAGCCTACATATTATCGCTGAGGGGCACACATTCAGAGCACTGCACAGGCATTTAGTTATGCTTCTCCTGCTGACACTAATGGGAGTCATGCAGCTAAATCTCTTTATTTCACTTGGAACGCTTACCCTGTGAGTCCAATTAATTTAATGAGGTAAAAGGAGGAACTTTCATAGAAGTAAAATATTTTTTTCCAAGGATCTTGTGCACAAACCATCCTGAAAGCTGCTTTCCTGCTTTCAAAAAGTGCCGTATAATGTATAATACAAAGGCTCTTTTGTACTGAATAAAATAAATCTTTCAGAAAATGTTTTATTCTTTGTTAATAGTCAGACTTTCACAAAGTTTTTGACACTTTTAATCTGTTGGAAAATACAATGTGAATTTTAAGGTGGTTACATCATCTAATACATGGGGGAAGAACATACTTAGTTGCTCAAGTAATTGCCAAAAGTAAATGTGGAAGTGTTTGGGTTTTTTTTTATGAGGTCTGCCTCATAGCTAATATACTGCTGCTCCTTTCTTTTTAGGATGGGAAAATTCGAGTCACAATACTTGCACGCAGTACAGATTACCGGAAAATATTAAACCAGAATGAGGTGTGGTCCTTTTTATTTTTAAAATTAATTTATCAGAAGTTAAACTTTGCTCATTGAATAGATTTTTTTGCAGGTACAGCCAAGACATCTATCTGCTGACAAATCTTGGACAAATATGTTCAGTGCTAATATTAATTTCTTCTAATATGTCTTCTAGCTAGTCTGTTTCTGTACACCAGACAGTGAACCTTGCTGCCCTTTTAAAATATCCAATAGAAGACTACAGATGTAATAGTAAAAATATTTCCTCTTAACAAACAGACGCTGTGGAGCTTCTCAAAATTAAATTATTTCACTTTCAGATTCTTTTATTTCTAGGATCCCCAGTGTTGAAGACTCTAACAAAAACCTTTGTTATGCTTGCAGATGAAAATGCATAAGCTGTTGTATCTGAGTATGTGCATTCAAAACTTAATGAATTTTCGTATTGATTCACGTTTTTGAATCGTGCAACTTAGTGGACTTATGGTGTAGCTTTTCTTGTAGTAAAATGATAATATCTAATGTTTTCATACCTGTCTTCATTCTTAGCTGTTAGTGCTATGAAATGACGTTATCATCCACACCTTGTGTAGGGAGAAACTGAGGCTTGTTTGATGCAATAGCTCCGTGGCAGAATAGGCAGAGTGTAGATGACTAGATTTGTGCCTTAGCTACTAGGCTGTCCACAGTGCATGCCTACACTGCTACGTGTAGTGTGTTTTCTGGTAATGAGCACATGACAGAAAAGGAGAAGTTAACCTTATCTTTACTACACTTTTGTAAAAGAAAATACTTGGCTCTTTCTCCATCTACTGCTGGCTATGGAGTGGAGACTTGAAAAAGCCCTTTTAGGTTAGAAGCTCAGGCTCTAACCTGGTTTCGCTTCTCATAGAATCATTATGGTTGGAAGTGACCTCAGAGATCATCAAGTCCAACCGTATACCCAATGCCACCATGCCCGCTAAACCGACTAAACCATGTCTTCAAGCGCCACATCTAAATGTTTTTTGAACACCTCCAGGGATGGTGACTCCACCACCTCCCTGGGTGAGCTCATTCATGAGGTTCGTACTCACCTCATGTGAGCAGGATCCTGACCTAGTAAGGTATTTTTTCAAAATCCTTCTAGCTATGGATTTGCTTCTTTAGCTATTGGAATATCTTGTGGAAATCTTCCTGGCAAAACTCATAGTTTGAGGGGTTTAGGATTGGGTCCTGGAGCATATAAAAGTCAACAGTTGCCTCTGTGAGAGGGCAGGAGATCTGAATCTCCTCTCCAGGGGTTGCTCTGCCAGGAATAACGTGTGTATCTTAGGTAGGAAGGCACAAAAGGAGGGGAACTGCTCCTTTATGTGGCAGTGACAGCGTGTTTTGTTTCAGTCATTGTAATTCCCTCATGGGGAGGAGGGGGTGTAAAATGGTCAGGAGTGCAGGGGAGGAATTAATTGAAGGAGAACACCAAATCATTGTCATCTTATTCTCCTCCTTAGCTTGTGAATGCTTTGAAAACAGTATCAACATTGGAGGTCAAAGTGGTAGACTACAAATACAGGTACGTAAGTTGATAGAAGAAACTAATGTGATCTCATGCTGCCTATTGGTGGTGAAAGCTGTTTGCAGGCAAAGCGCTATGTATGCCCCGATGTCTTAACGTTGCAAAATCCAAGAACTGGTAAGGAAGGACGAATTTTACTGAGGGAGTGGTGGGTGAGTTAGTTAAGCACTCCCATCCTATGATGCACTACTTAGGAATGAATCTCTAGAGTTTGTAGGCTCAGGTTAAAGCTACTGTATGATGAGCAAGTTTTGAAATCACTTCTCTTTTTTTCCTCCTCTCTCCCAAAACCAGCTGTGTTCCCATCACCCTTTTGGATTTGCTAATGCTCTGCAGTAACTGTGGGTCGACAGGAATTTCTCTTGTATGATGCTAGTGTCTTATTTTATATGACCCTTAGTTTAGTAATGAATAATAACTCAGGTTATTTGCTGCTCTAATGGCTCCTGAAGATGCCACTTGAGGTCAATTTGTGATGCCCAGATGTAGTAGGCACTGTGCCAGTAGGAAATGCCTGGAAGGAAAAGTTCCCAAGTGGTGTATGCCTGTGCCAAATGGCAGCAGCTCCCATCTACTCAATCATGCTGTCGTGGATCATGCAGGAAGAGTGAGAAACTAAAGCAGCAATGAGATCAGTGTTTTGACCAAAGCAGAGACGGCGTGAGGAGGTGAAGAGTTGCTTGAGATTCCCCTGTCAATGAGAGCACTTGAGCAGTCTAATAATAAAAAAGAGTGTGGATATGCTTGGGAGGGCATCTAGACCATCCCACCTGAAAGCTTGATCAAGTGATACTTCCACAATTTCTGTGCTTGTCAAAAGTGTTTGCAGTACTGTTCAGCATTAGAGATTTCTGCAGCTATCCTGCAGCATCACTGTTGTCATAGTTAGAAGGGTTTCCCTGATGTTTGCACTTATAGCAGTTTAAACCTGTCCTGTGGTTTAAGCCAGTTTCTTTCCACTCGTTTCCAAATGGTCAGAGAGGACGTTATTCTCTTCCTTTTTAATGTATGATCTGTTTGTACACAAATGAAGCCTGTTGAACTTCCCTTTCGAGTTGTCTGTCTTCTCTTACAATTAAGTATCTTTAGTCCATTCTTTCCTTGTGTGCTTAGGGAATGTTTGGTTATTTAGAGAGCGTACTTTATTTGGAGCTTACAGCCAAAGGTTGGGAGAGAGTGACACTTCTAGGACCTGAAAAAAGCCTGGTCTCCTTATTTCTGCTTGATGCCCTGTGCATAAGTTCAGGTTGGATACCTGCATCTTTAGGCAGGAATGATATACTTCTACATTACATTAAAAACAATTTAGGTCTTTTATGTTGATTTGAGTTTGGTTTTGTTTTGTTTTGTTTTTAAAGGAGGTGATGCTTTTTTAAAGGGAGTGATGCATAATTTTTTTTTTTAAAGGCAAGTAAAAAAAAAACCACAAAACTTTTAAAATCTTTAACTTGGAAAAAAAAAATCACATTTTTGGGACAAACTTTTGTGAAGTTTCAAAACCTGTCTGCATTTCTTTTAATTCCATGCTGAGTTATTGCTGGCTGCAGCATTTGTGATTCTTAGTGTTGTTCCTTGAAAAATCAATCTCTCTCTCAGTATTCCCTTAAGTTAATTTTGCGGTTTCTGCATGTAGCTGATTCTTGCTGAGATGGATAGGCATGCCAGATCACCATTTTTGTTGTGTTGTGTTGTCTGCAGGGAACTTGAATTTTCAGAGCAATTGAGAATTACCCACAACTCTGATATATTCATTGGGATGCATGGAGCTGGACTTACCCATTTGCTCTTTCTACCAGACTGGGCCGTTGTTTTTGAACTGTAAGTCTGTTCTCTTTCTTTCCCCTCTATTATACACACAACTGCTCACGTCTGTTCTTATGTGCTAATGAAGCACTCTCCCTTGCTAGTATTTGACTGTGAATATTTGTCTTGCATCCTCATCTAGACTTCATTTTTGGCAGCCTCTTCTGGGAATCAAAAGTGAGAAAGCTTTCATTATAAAATATAGTGTAACTGTATCATACAGATTTGGCCTGTGATTCCTTAAGATGCCATGGTATAAATAAAATGCAGCCTGGTCAACAATTGCTTGGGGAAAACGGCAAAAAATGAGAAAGCCTCACTGGTCAGATTCTGCCTGGTGAGTCTGAGATCTAATGGTATTTTGGTGATGCAGGTGAATTGATCACATACGATGCATGTCCGAGGTATTAAAGATCCCACTGAAGGTTATTTAGATACTCCTTTCTATGCTCAGGACATGAGCACCAGCTTGCTGGCCAAGCTCAGCTGTGTGTCATTCTGTTTTACTTAAATTTCTCTAGTAATTTCTGTCTTTAGAGAAGTAATTTCTTCTCTAGTAGCTTCCATTTAAACATATTTTGTTACCAAGTACGGTTGTTAACAGACGCTCTGGTTCTTTAGAACTAAACAAAAATGCAGAGTGCTTGTCAGAAGAGCACTGAATTCTCCATCCTGGGAAATTCTGCATAAGACCCTGGGTGGGAAGGCTATGGTGCTTTGCAGGATAATCTTGGCTTGAGAGTATTTTGTCTAGTCTCCAAATAAGTTCAGAAACTCAGGGGTTTTTTACATGTCCAAGAGCTGCTGCAGCTGGACAGGGACATGTCTGACATGCAGATGTGCCTCAAACTGCCTCCTAGGCCACATCTTAAGAACAGATGATAGCCCTTGTTGTTGTTTTCAGAATTTGTCCATGGTTTCGGTGCCTTAGAACTGGGCAGCAAACGTTTCGTCTTGCAGGTTTTATTTCCTGTTTCACCCAGGTAAACTGCACAATCTCTGCAGGTAAATATGATTTTTATGCCTGTCCTTAGGTACAATTGTGAAGATGAACGTTGTTACCTGGATTTGGCAAGGCTGAGAGGCATTCAGTACATCACTTGGCGAAAAAGGAATAAAGTATTCCCTCAAGATCAGGTACTGATGGCCACTGCTGGAAGGGTGGGGTGCTATCACTTCGAAGCATTTAACATTTAGCTTGCTTTACCTATCTATGTTCTGGTATTTGAAAGACAATTTTCATTCTTTAGACCAAATTAACTTCCCTGTTGTGATTAAGAAATCATTTGGTATTAATGGCTAAGGGAAGAAGAAAAATTAAATTAATTGGCCTCTAATTCAAGCAATCCATAGCATTGCTGTTACACGGTTACTTTGCCAGCTCTTTTGCCTCAGAGCAGATCAGTGAATTAGAAATAATAAATTAAAATGGTGGATGCTCAATTTTTTTTTTCTTTCTTTTTGAATGGAAGATGTATTGAATTTTTTTTCCCATCTAAAAGGCCTTATTTCATTTTTCTAGGGACACCACCCAACACTGGGAGAACATCCAAAATTTACGAACTACTCCTTTGATGTGGAAGAATTTATGTACTTGGTGCTTCTGGCTGCAAATCACGTTTCACAGCATTCCAAGTGGCCATTTAGGGTAAAACATGATGAATTCTAAATTAGTCTTCTGACTGAGATATTATTTTTAAATAACGCTCCGTAAAAATATTGTAACAACATAAAGCAAAATGCTGGTGTGAAACATGTAAACCTCTGCGAGGGAAATAACCCATTATTAATTTGTCAAACCACCTTAGCACTGTACCTTCTCTTTATAATCCCTCTCTCTAATTCGTGGAGTTTTTGATACGTAAAAACTATTTTTTCAGAACTCTTTTTGGTTTTTGCACTGTATTTTTGCATTCCAAATTCTGAAATACTTGTCTTTGTATAAAGGTTTGTCCATCCATTTCATGTAAGATTTTCTGGGATAGATAATAGTCTTGTAATAATTTATGCCTACTGTTACATGAGGAAATGCTAGAGGATGGAGAGTGTTACAGCTTGGATTCTCAGTGTAGTCTCTCCGGGAATGAAAGAGGCCTGTCAGAGCTCCTCAGTTCTGCTTTTTAAGAAGCTAGATGCTTTTATACTATAGTCCTGTACCTGTAAGTAAAAATCTGAACAGGAATTACCTTCCTATTGTAAAACACTGCCCAGTATGTCATTTGCAGCTGAGTTACATGGTGCAGTGGTTCCAGGATGGCTTGTTAGTTCCTTTCCATCGTCATCCATGTCGTTGCTGTGCTTGTCCCTCTATTGTTTCTAGGTTTGAAGATCTTCCTTTGTAAAATAGTGGTTGTAAGAATGAAGCGGTTAAGCAAGCTTTAACTTTTGTTGTTTGATTCAACAGACACTGCAAACTTCTATGTCAAGTTTAGAAACATTTTCAAGTTAGAGAGCAGAGTCTTATGTTTTTGCATTAAATATAAACTTTGACTATTCTCCCTGTATTTTTAAATGCTAAAATATAACAAATCTGCTCAGTAGGTTTAGTCAGTCTTCTATCTCAAAGCAGGTAAATCTTTTCATAAGTGAATACTTAAAATTTCAGGTAGTCTGAGTGTTTCCTACTTTTTCACATAAAACAGCACTCTGCAATGGAAAACTTGATCAAATTGGAATAAAACTTGAGTCTTTTTGAGGATGCTAAAGGGAATGAACTTCTATTTTTTTATGACAAATAAGATGTATAGGCTGTCTTTCAGCTGCAGCTGAAAGGAAATGCAAGTCATGAGGAACCTTGTTCTTGGAGTCATTAAAAGCCTGATCTATTAATCTTCTTGTTTTCTCAAAATGTTGAAGAGTCAATCTAGAAAACTTTTGAAAATCCTTCCAAAGCCAGTAGCATAGTTCACTGTTTTCAGTGAAGGAAATGTTAAGCCAAAGCTGAATTCTTTATGAATTCCCCCCAGAGCTAACATGGTGGTGCTAGTGGGGGGAAAAAAAAGGGAGTGGTTCTGTTGTCTTAAGTGGAGCCAGAAGGAAGTGTGTAGAAGAATCAAGTTCAGTGAGATAAAAAAACCAGAGTTCTATGTTAAATTATGGATTTTTTTTGAGAATGTATTCCCTTGATAGACTTGCAGTATAATCATACAGTCTCTGTGGCTTGAAGCAGAGCATACATTTGTATGCAAAAGCAAGATACTTACAGTAAATGTAAACATTTTGCAGGGGTAATTGTAGATATTATTGACTTCCATTCTCCAACAGTCATAGGCAATTTCATAGAGCGTAGGTACATTTACTGACCTGCCTATACTGGTAAAGATGAGTTACTGTAAGCATAATTTTCATATAGATCTCTCATGACCTTAAGCATTGCATAGGAAAAGCTAGATATAGCTGATACACAAGATATATTAAAGTATCTGGTGCAATTCTTAGTGTAGTATGTTGTTTTACTGATGGATAAAACTGTTTCGCTTTAAAGAACCATAGAAGCAAAATTGCACTTCTTGACATGAAAGAAAAAAAAAAAAAAAGCCCTTGAGAAATACAATTTCCTGTATTTGTGTGTGTGGTTTTTTTACCTGTGGGATTTTTAAAGAAAAAAAATGTATAAAACTTAAGTCAGTAAAATATCTGAGTTAGAATGAAAACCAATTCAAAATAAAGAAGATGTTTAAGTATGAACTGTGTACAGATATTTGATAATTTTTTTAATAAAAAGCTTTTTAATAAAAAAGAAGTGTAAAATGTTTGATTATGGTTTGCCAGGTTTTAGAGGCAAATGTTTTAAATACTATTAATTGCATAGAGTCGTGTGTCTTTGCTTTTTCCTGCCATGGCAACGTGGTGCTCTGAGGTTCAAACTGATACTGGGATTTATTTATCTGGGAGTCATTCAGAGATAATGCTGTCACCTTGCATTGATGGCTTTGTTGCTGGGCATTTTAAGATTGGTTTGTGGAAAACACTTGTATATGTTTAACTTTCTGCGCTGCAGATGATGCTGTTGAAGCCAGTGTGTGAATGCAGGCATGTGCTTGAATCTGTACAGAAACAGCTAATGAGGAGCTTCTCTTTCAAGTTGTGTTAGGACTCAGTAAAACAAGTGGTCGAACATATGCCTGAATCCGTGGAGGAGAGGCTGTGAGGACTTAATCCAAGGGCAATATGTCCTGGCAACATTCACCAGTTTCAGCAAATTTGAGTGCAGCATCAAGAGTTGATGGCCAACTTCAGCCTTTATGGCTTAGTACTGCTGGGATGAAAATACTAGTTTGGTTGATTAGCTTTACAAATAGTCACAAAATTATCTTGGCAGCAGAAGGAGGTTTGGTTGGATTAGTGGGATTTTGCCAATATATCTCGAGAGCGTGGACAACAGCAAAGATCTGGCTCGTGACTTTCGTAAAGACGGTCTGGACCATCTTGGTCTGCCTGGAAATTGGAATTTGACTTCTGTGCCACTTGTTCTTTAGGCAGGGTATAGCTCTGGATTATGTTTTCCCAACAGACTATAGGAATCTTGTTCCTTGCTACTTCTGAATTTTTTTTTTTTGTCTCTCCAGTTTACTTAAGTTTAGAGTCTGTGTTTAACTGGTACATTGGCATCAGCGTGATGAATTTAGTTTGGGGACTTCATGAACGTTGCCAATCCTGAATGCTTACAGAATTGCCTGTGTTTCCTGTACAATGTAAACTGAGAGCTGGATTTGAAATAAAAAATAATTTATGGATGCACATGGTGTCTTTCTTTTTTACTTCAGAAGTCTTTAAGATGTCCTTTCAGTTTTTTCTTTGTGAAGTTCTGTTGAAGTTGGGTAAGTGTGAGAAATGGTTTGTGATGGGGAGGTGGCAGGTGTCTTTTTTTTTTACTTCAGAAGTCTTCAAGATGTCCTTTCAGTTTTTTTCTTTGTGAAGTTCTGTTGAAGTTGGGTAAGTGTGAGAAATGGTTTGTGATGGGGAGGTGGCAAATCAAGATTGTTAATCTTAAGAGTACAATTATAAATATTAAGGCGATGTATTTTTAAAAGCGGTTAAATAATAATGAGATTGTTTAATTTTTGCTGTTAATCTTACCAGTTGTACCATTAATGAGAGAACTCAGGGTTTAGAATGTCTTGTAGTCATTTATTTTTTTTAGGCAGGAGAGAAACTGAAGGAAATGTTCTCCTTGAGAGCTTTTTATCTGCTCAGAAGGGCAAAATGTGAGGGGATAATTTTCTTTGATTTCAGCATTGAATAATTGTTTCAATTTGCAGTGTTTGCCTTGAAGTTGAGCTCTTACTTCCACTCCTCTGAACACACGTTTCTCATGGATCAGGCGTTTTGTCTGAAATAGAAGAACTGCTACTAAATACTCTGCTGGCTTTGGCCCCGAAACTGCCAAAGTAGCCTGGCTCTTCGTTATTCATTCATGAATTCTCATCATCCTTCTTGCGTTTCAGTTCCTCATCTCACAGCGTGGGTGGTGAGGGTGCGAAGCCTGCAGCTGCTGAAGCTATGGACCTGCTCTGAATGGGACCTGCTCCTCCCGTCTACAGACCGTGTCGGTCAGGTTGCGTGAGGGCTCTTCGACTCATTTCAGCCAAAGTCAGCTGCCTTAGCGAAAGCTTGCAGTTTAAACCGTTTGCCACAGACTTATTTTTCCTGTGATGTAAGGGATGGCTGTGTAAGCTACTCACCTGGAGTGGGCAGTACGTCCAGGCAGGTAGGCAGGTCTTGGTTGTGGTTGGAAGTAATCTTCCTAGAGAAACTAGAGCTGGAAGAAAATGACTGAGCAGGTCTCGGTGAGCCCAGGTCCAAAGTTTTAGTAAGTTCTGTGTTGTTATTGAACAATTTATGGTAGGGGTATCTCCAAACTGTGCAGCTGATGAGAGCGTCTGGTGAAGGTGAGGAGGGAGATGCGTAGAAGAAATGAGAAGGGTGAGGAGGAAGGAGGAATGAGTAAATGTAAAGGCTGTGGATGGGTAAAATGGGCAGAGTTATTCCCAAGCCTGAGGCTCAAAAGACCTCTGTGAATGCAATTATAAATCAAGTGAAGTGTGTGGAAACCCCACTGGGACAGAGTCAAAAATAAGGGTACTGAAAATGTTACTGTCATAAACTGCAAGGAGGTACAGGAGGGAGAAATGAAAGGACCTGAATTACCCCGAGTCTGAGCTAGGTGAGGAGGGGAGCAGCATCCCTGGCCAGGTGGGGCTCTCGGGGAGAAGGGCCAGGGCTGGAAAACTGGGTGGTGAGTTGGAAGCTGTGCTGGAGAGAGGAGCTGAAAAGGGCAGCGGAGGTTGGCTGGGGGTTGTTTTGCCACAGTTCGAGAGAGCTGACAGCACATTCTCAAATGTATTTTTTTATAGGCTGCTGTCCTCTCTTAGAAAAGTGAAATATTTTAATAATATAA